GTGGGGCTAGAGGACTAAGAGCCACCAGTGAGCACTGGTGTCAATCTTTACCAATTCTGAGACTGAAAGTAAACTTAAACTTTAAACTTAAAGTTCAGTATAAGGGATGGGGAACCCGATGCCTGGCCAGCACAGAGCCTGCCCATGACATGCCAGCTAGCAGGTGGTGAAGCGGGAGCCGGAGTGGCAGCCCCCACGGCTCGGCCATGTCTGCCCGACCTGTCACAAGTCACGCAGTTTCCTGGGCATGCAAACATTTTTCTTCAAAGCTGTCAGCCTAACTTGGTATCTGCCAGAAGAAATAATGAAAAAATACTATAAAGTAACCCACAAAATTGAAAATAATTGGCAGAGACACCAATATGTACTTTCTAAACTTGCTACGAGATTGTGTTTAATGAAGTCACAAACTTTGTACCAGGCATAAGGCCACAGTGTAGTGAAGATGCAAAACTGAAGAAAAGATTGACTATCGCTTAGTACAGGCGCACTTTCTAGGGCTCTTCTATCCGGTTTTGGTAAGCTTCCTATAAGAACACAGCCCCACTCACTAATCCTTTGCATTGCTTGGTTCCAACCAGAAATGGATTATGGTTTAGATGTGAGGTGGCCCCCAAATCTCATGTGTGAGACAATGCAAGAAAGTTCAGAGGTGAAATGACTAGGTTATGAGAGCTGTAAAGTAATCAGCACATTAATCTACTGATAGGGATTAACTGGGAAGCAACTAACTGTAGGCAGGTGGGGTGTGGCTGGAGGGGATGGGTCCCTGGGGGAATGCCTTTGGGGTATATATTTTGTCCTTGTTGATCAGAGCTCTCTCTGCCTCCTGGTACCAGGTCCCCAGACACTTCCCTCCACCACACACTTCTGCCTTATGTCAGATCCAGAGGTATGGAGGAGACCATCTATGGACTGAGAGCTCTGAAACGGTTCCCCAAATAAACTCTTCCTCTTCTAAGTGTTCTTGTCAGGTCTTTTGGTTTCAGAAGCAAAAAATGACTGAAACACCCTTTGTGTTGCTGACAGATCACTGCAGCTCCATCTGACACAGACTTCTGGAACGTAGCTGGTAAAACACAGCTGTATTTCAAGTGTCACAGAATTTATAGGCGCCCATAAAGGCATGGCTGCTCCCTTTTCCTCCCTCCATCTCATCACCCCAGTCTTCCCTCCCCTTTAACACCAGCAGAACATCTGCAAATGGAAAGCTTTGACTGACATATCCTAAAACATTAGCAAGTGACATTGTCATTTGCAATCACATTATGTGAGGTTGATCAGTTAAAGGATTCACGGCTTTGGACAAGTCTGAATACAGCCTGGGAGTGCATTATTTAGCAGGTTTATTAAGGCATCCCTGATATTGCTTCCAGGTCCTCATTTAGCAGCAGTTGGCCTGCTGATTACTCTTCACTCCTCCAAGAAAACACAACTGTCCCGAGATGGATAAAATTAGTCTTCTCTTAAAAAAAAAAATCAAAACACCTGCCACGTCCTATATTCACTAACATTGTCACAAAATGGTGACAATGTGTTTTGACACATTGAGGTGAATATTTATCTTACATATGTGTGTTTAGACAGATGGAAACCAGGGTAGGACTTCATGGTGTGAGCAGCCTTAGTTTTCAATAATGATCCTTATGCTTTCGTTATTCTGTGGTCTACATGTCATGCTCCCAAACAAACCAAACAAAAGCAGCTACAAGGCCTCCTCCTTCCAGCCCCAGACAGCTGGCAGTGGGAGCAGGAGGTCAGAGCGCTTCATCCCTGCAGATCTTCCCACCCAGGGCCTGTGCCTCGCCTCCCAGAGGCAGATTACTCATCTCCCAACCTCTGAGTGCAAAGGGTGACCCGGCTGCTGTTGGACAGATGAAGCTGGTCACCCTTAACCCCCTTCTTCCATGCTGGTGGACACCTACCACAGCCCCTCAAAGCAGTCAGTCAGTGGTCAGCACTACCTGGGACTGGCAGGCAGGTCTATTGGTGGAGACCAACGTCAGCCACTCCCCCGTCTGTTCTTCATTAGGGGTGCATATTTGCCCGTATGTGGGGTAGTCTGTGGGTATCTATGGAAAACGCATACCCCACGCCTGTGTCGCTGGTTATGAAGTCACTGTTTTGGTTTGCCTTCCACTTACTTCTGTTTCGAATCTCAGACAAGGAGCACTGGTGACAAGTAACCTCAGGTGAATGACTTGACTGAACCCCCAGTTCAGCAGCAGCCAAGAATGTTTCAAAAATTGAACTCTGCTTTAAAAATTCTACTAGGATGGACTGAAGGCAGAAATCTAAGACCTGACGCTGGGAGACACCCAAATTTCTGAGGAGCGAGGGGAGACACCTCTGTAGGCCAAGATCCAGAAGAGACCACAACATCCTGCCATGGGAGATGAAAGAGAAACCTGGGATGCCGTCAAGCTAAGAAGCTGACAGTCCAAGGGAGGAGACAGACGGCAGGGGGGGACTTGCAAAGCAGGCATGTCCCCAGGGTTGACACCCAGAATATGCAGGGAGCTCCAACAACTCCACAGCAAACAGGAGCGATGGGAATGGACGGAGGAGGTGAATGGGCATTTCTCAAAAGAGAAGGGCCAACGAGGACATGAACAAGGCCTGTGACCTAAAACCCCCTGAACTGGCTTTGCGTTCCGCCGAGTGTGGGGTCAAAAGTCACTACAGTGCTCAGGGCTGGGGCACGGCCTCCACTGACTGTGTGAGACCCCGCCGCTGCGCTTCGCCTCCAGACATCCCCTACGCAAGGTGCCCAGGGCACCCTCTGAAGGACTGCGGCCCACGGTGGGGGTGATGGGCAGCGCTGAGAGGGGAGAGGACAGCTGGGCGAGAGGTCTGGCACCAGGGGGAGTGGCTGCAAGCCTGCTCCTCCAGAGGCACACCTGTCTGGCTCTGGAACAGGACGGTTCCACACTGGTCTCCCTCTCAGGGGAGTCTCAGGCAGCAGGATGGCCTCGCACTTCAGCACCTACTGGCCATGTTAGACAGACAGTCAGGTTACTTCTCAGAAGAGCTGCCCCTGACCCTGTGTGGCACTTGCCCTGTGTCTTCGCTCAGGTTAAATAACACGCACTGGAAAGAAAAGTCCATGTCTGAAACACTGGACAGTCCCTGGGAAGGGACACTCTGGTGCCTCTGTCAGTAACACCATCAAGAAGGACCCTCTAGCAATTCCTGGGACTAAAGGATTAGAACTTTTGGGAAGCAAAAAAATAGGCACGTTTCATTTTTTGGAATCATCTCACCCGACCCCGATGAACTCCATGTATGTCTCTCTCAGCTAATGCCACATCTACACCTTTGTAAGAATTAGATCCCTGACATTTTTGTGATCTAGTTATTCAAATCAATAAGACACTGTTGTGTCTTTCACATTATTTAATTCCCTTGGTATCCTTACTCGGCCAAGTATAGAAAAAGACAAGACTTGAGTATTTTAGTATAAATTCATTCATCAGAAGAAAATCTATATGACAAAAGAACCTTGATGAAGCTGGGATTTGAGAGAACTGGTGAAAGCAGAGAAGGTGATTGACAGGTCAGTTCCACTGTGACTTTATAAGGGATGTGACTGTGGAATCAGTAAAGGCCCTAAAGGGGGAGGGGGAAGGACTCCGGGGAAACGCGAGCAAACGAAGGTGTGTACACAACCCGGCACCACCTGTGGCTTCCCAGGGGTTTTCACGCAGAAAGACCCCGGGTTCCAGTGACTCCGTTTTGATGATGCTCTCCTGGTCCAGATGGTCAAACCGTAGACAGAACACTGTAATCACAACCCTAAAATATAACCTCGCAGCAAAATAAATGCCATCGACAATATTTTTTTTTCTTTAAGCAGTTAAAGGGAGGGTAATGGAAATACATGACAAATTGGACTGAGGTTTCGTTTCCACAAATTCACTGGAGGCACAGCTGTGAGGAGATGAAAGGATGAAGCGGGACAGAGGACCCAGGCTGGGGCCCGGAGTGAGTGCTGTGCAGGTTAGCCAACGCCTTGCAGAGAAAACCAAACCCGCTGTGTGGGCTCCTGGGCTTCCCCGGTGAGCACTCCCGTTAGGACAGACACCAAGCTCACTCCCAAGTCTGGCTTTAATTTGGGCTTATACACGATCCAAGAGAAGCACTCAGCACATTCTCTGGCATTTCATTAAAACCTCAATAGCCAGGCATGGTGACACACAGCTATAATCCCAGCAACTCGGGAGGCTGAGGCAGGAGGTTGGTAAGTTCAAGGCCTTAAGAATATTAGTGGAGACCCTGTCTCAAAATAATGAAAAGTGCTGGGGAGGTGGCTCAGGAATTTAGCCACCCAGGGTGCTTAAAAAGAAAAGAAAAAGAAAAAAGACACAACTTCAACAAATATGGCTATATTTTAGTTTTGACTCTCAAGATGCATTTTCTTAGGAAAGTCAAAATCCAAGAGTTTGAAGACAGTTTTATAAAGACTAGAAAAGTAAAATGATTTCATCAGAAAAGTTAGAATTTCAGAGACTCGGGAAAAGTCACTAGCTTTATACCCTAAGTCAGCAATGGACATTTGAAATAGTGCAGTTATTTATGATTACCTGATTTCACAGTTTAAGAGTGCTGAAAGAGTTCTCAAAATACACTTTAATTATCAAAGGGTGTTTTTCATTTTTAATGAGAAAAAGATAAACTCAGAATCGTCAGATCCAGAAGGACATAAACATACGTAAGATAACAGAAGATCTTGACCAGAGAGAGCCACACAAAGAAGTGCATAAAGTCTGGGAGATAAATGAAGGAAACTTAGAACTTGGGGGACATAATGACATGGCACACACTTGCTGGTGGATCTATAAGGTCCTAGCCACGGATTCCGACATAACACCTCATGTGGCTTGTGGAAGTGACGAGCTGGCCTCTTAACCTCCACCCCCCCTTAAGTGGGCACGTACTGAATCAGCTCCAGAGTCTCTCTGCCCCAGCCGCTTTACAGAAAGGCGCTTGCTGTACCGTACCTCTGCAGAAAGGAGCCGGGAAGTCCCAGGAGGCGCCATTCCCGGGGCTGACGATGCAGGTCAGGACCGCGTGACCTTCCAAGATGTAGCCAGAGAGGCAGCTGTATCGGATCTTATCTCCTATGTTGAACCTCGTCCCGTGGAGAACGCCTTTCAGTATTTCCCCAGGATGTCCACATGTGTGGCTTGGTAAAACTATGGGAAGGAGAAAGAAAAAACAAAAGTGAAAGACAATTCCTCTGAGATCCATTCATATCACCATATAGGCACCACTTGGAACTATTAAAATGATCAGAGCTTTAGCACAGAAAAAAATCTAATGATGTCAGTGTTTAGCATATCTGCATGATAATATTTTTATAACCATTTTCAAAGTATAAGTAAATATATATCATTAAAAGACAAGAAACCCCGTGGTGCTGGGATCTGGTGATCCAGAGGAGGTCGGGGTTCCATGTCCATGCAGCCAGCAACCAGGTAGCATTGCGGACACTGAGGTCGGGGAAATGACAAGCACAGCAGGAAAGCATCCGCCAGCCTCCTCGACCTCAGGCTAGATGCACACTCCTGCCAATGTCCTGTCTGAGGGACACAGAGCTGCATGAGGACTAAACTGAAGGTCCTCTCCATCCATTAAACACCTGACTGTCCTGGAACCCAGGCCCAGGCTCTGCACACCTACAGCGTCTGACCTGGGGGAGCTTTAACTACTCCCTGGGACAACATGAGGACCACATCCACTTGTGATTCCAAAGCAAGGTCTCGGTTCTGTTCTTTTCGACCTGACTTTTCTTCTGGCTGAGGTTCTACTCAATCAACTGCCTTGAGACTTAACCAACAAGATTTCATTCCATGTTCAAAGAACAGGCTTTTGCACAAAGTCGACGCAGCAGCAGGCAGAACGGATGACATGTGGGATTGTGGACTGTCTCCTGCTGCTGGTTTTCATCGAGCATGTCCTCAGTAATGAGTGTATTCAAAAGAGCTAAGTGCTTATGTTTTTTTTTTTATTTCTTTTGAAATGACTTAAGTCCAAACTTAGATATAAATAAAAGTTTAGAGAATAATATTAGTTATTAGTAGTTTGGTATTTAATAGAGACATGATTATGGATCTCCATTTACCTAATCAAGTAGTGTTCATATCTAGTTTTTAAAATTTTCTGAAAACAATGTACCAAAATATATTCAGAAAACAAAATAGTTTAGTACAATCTACAATCAACTGTGTTGTCTACTTAAAAAAGCATGTTCTAGACAGGTACAGTGGCATGTACCTAAAACCCCAGTGCTCCTGGCCCAGTCAAGAGGATCACAAGTTCAAGGCCAGCCTCAGTAATGTAGCAAGGCTTGAAGCAACTTAGCAAGATCCCCTCTTAAAATAAAAAAAGGGAGGTTGGAGATGTGACTCAACGGTTAATCACCCCAGGGTTCAATTCCTAGTATCAAAAAAATAAGTATATTCTATGTTTGATTCCACACCCACTTCTCTGCTAGCCATTTTGATACACCGGAGCACTGTGGTCAACCCTATGACTCTGCAGCGCTACATGACATTAGAAGTCATCCCTGCCACAACTGCCCCTTTGTACAGGCTCCAGCAATGACTGTTCTCCCTTCCAATTCTGTAAGAACCACTTAAAAAAATCAAACAATTTTAAATAAAAACAAATGAATACCCAATTTAAAAATGGGCAAATGATCTGAATAGACATCTGAGGAAAATATGAAAATGGAAACAAATACATGAAAACATGCTCCACGTCACCAATCATCAGGGAAACAGATCAGACCACATGGAGGTGCCCCCTCAGACTCTGGGAGTGAAGCTCCTGGAGAAGACAGTGCTGGCGAGTTTGCAGGTGGCAGGGAGCCCTTGGACGTGTGGTGGGAATATCAGTTAGTGGGGCCATTATGAGAACAGCAGGCAGGCTCCACAAGACCTCAAAACTGAACTTCCACAGGATCCAGCCACCCCACTGCTGGCCCCTGTCCAAGCACAAGTCATCGCTATGTTGGGAGGAGACCTGCCCCTGCACTGCGGGCCACTCACAGCAGCCAGGAACACATGCACCAGAGTGTCCACTGTGGGGGAGCGGGGAAGCACCTGTTCTGGCCACACCAGGGAGCACCACTCAGTTGGGAAGTCAGGTGAGTCCTGCCATGGCAGCACCCAGGGACCGGAGGTCACATGCCAAGACATCACGCCAGGCTCAGAAGACAAGCCACCTATTCTCATCCCAGGAGGAGGCTTCCATCAGCTGTGTCCAGGTAAACTGCCTCCAAGGAGAAGAGAGCTGCCATGTGAGTCTACCCAGTGCTTTCACACCTGCTAACACAACTGCCAGCCGCACAAATGGAAAATAATGGAAAGTAAGAACCACCCACTCGAAAACAAAGCCGCCTGCACAGCATTTTCACCCATTTTACTGTGGAGAACAGCAAGAAAACACTTCTAAGTGCACTCTGCCGTGGAGTCTATGAGTGTCTGCTGTTAGGAAGCCCCACGTTACACGATACCACAGCAACCGACAGTGGGCACCTGTGGGCAGGCAGAGCCACGAGGGTGCCCTTGGACTTGCATATGGGACAGCATGGTGCCAATCCTGGACTGTCAGGAGTGTTCCCAGGAGGGCGGAAACGCACGGCAACGCATCACTGGGGGAAGCATCAGCCGACCAAGACGGGGAGCCCCCTGCCAGGGCTCTGAAGGGGCGTCCGACACAGTGTCCTGGAGTGTCAGAGCTCACCCTCCCCCCGGGAAGAACAAGCCGATCTAGGAAAGATGATTTCAGTAGGGGACATTAGTGCCGATGCTGAACGTAGGAACTGTCAAAACAACAACAACAACAACAAAAACCCTGGAGCATGTGCTGTTCCCACAATTAACATCCAATTTCCAAAGGCCCAATAGCGGTAGCTGACCCTCGCCCAGCTGTCCGCTTCCCTCCCAAGGGTGCAGCCTACTCAGGAGGGCAGCCAGGGTGGCCATTTCTTGGGCCTTTAGACCACTTTGATGGCTTCCATTTTTGTTCTTGTCCCGAGATGTGTTGGCCTTAACATCCTGACACTGGGTCAGAGTAGCATCACGAATCAACTCTCGGCCTGTGCACAGCGGGACCCGTTCTCAAAGGACAAGACTGCAGGAAAGTGGAACGGCGGCTAGGTCTCCTTCTCATCAGCTCTCTGCTCCCTAGTGCTTCCTAGCCAGCCGTAGTCAGGCGAGAGATGCGAAGGCCAAGGAGAACTCCTGGGACTCCACACCCCTGCTCTGACCCTCTTATGGGATGGAGCTGTGCCTGGCTGAGCGCCTCTTGCAGGTCCTGCCTGGCTCCAGCCCGGGGCGCTCCCTTTCCATCTCTGACAGGGTCAAGAACGGTGGCCCACCCTCAGCAGGCGCTGGCTAGAAGTGTATTGGTTCAACTAAATAATAATGTATCTTTAATGACATAGAGCATGTTTTCATAGATTTAAACCTTAGTTGTGTGTATAGCTCATAATCCTGATGGAAGCTGGAAAAAAATCAAATTTTTCCAAAGCAGGTGGCCAAAATATCATGTTGGAAAACAGAATCAGTTAATAATTTATAACTTTAAATCATTCTGTTCCCACATTTGACAAAATATATATATATATGTGTATACACACACACACACACACACACACACACACACACACATATATATACACACACACATATCAGAGCCTTAAACCGAATTTAAAATTTTATTTTTCAGTACTCGAGATTGAACCCAATGGCAATCTACCACCGAATTACATCCACAGCCCTTTTAATTTCTATTTTGAGACAGGGTCACTCTAAGCTGCCCGTTCTGGCTTCTAATTAGCAATCCATGACCCCAGCCTCCCTATATACAGGTGTGTGCCAATCCTGGCAGCTGAATGCAGATTATTTAAAGAAAAATAGCTTAGAGTAATCAAGAACTACCTTTTAATATTTAAAGTCATTGGTTGGTAGCACAAAGTTATAAATTGATAACTGAGGATCTTTATTCTTAAACAATTACATCTCGAAAATTTTTTCATTTAAGTTTTAGCATAATGTCAATAAGCAAACAGGCATAACTGGAGTTACAAAACTTACTTCCAGTTGCAAACAATAAGAAAAGCAAAAATGCTCAGATTCTAAAACAATCAATCTTGCAAAAATTTGCAGGTTTATGAAACTAAAAAACTAGATGGTATGATAATTCTATTCAAATACTTAATACTCAGATACATAAAAATTACTAAAACAGAAATTTGGTGGATCAGAGAAACTTATTTAAAGTCTAGGAGATTCATCCCAATTTTTGTTTCTGCCAATTTCATGTTTGTTTGTTTTTTTTTAAGCTCATTCCTCTGAAGACAGTGAATGTCCCTTGTGCCTCCCAGGGGCACACATTGAGTGTGGAAAGTGTGTCAAATTGTCGTGAACCGACTTTAATCCCCCTCACCCTCCCCTGAGCACTGTGGGCTTTCTCCCTTGGAAGCTTCAAGAAAGGGATGCTTCTGTGCTCTGAGCTCGCCTTTGGTGATGTGAAGGGTTTTCTGGTGAGGAGCCTGGGAAAGGCTCTACCTCCCGTGGCAGGTTTCCACCAGACCCCGAGGAGCCAAGTTTACACCAGGGCCGCAGCATGGGGGACTGTCATCCTGATTATGCGCATGAAAACTCCCTCCACAGCGATTTTGATTTGGCAAGTACATATGGTCACAATTCAGTGACTTAATTGGGCTATCACATCAAACCTTTAACCCAACTGTTTAAATGATTAAATGGATGTCACATTAAATCCCTTTCCAAAAGAAAATTGAAAACACGATAGTACAATAAAATACAGCATTAATATTCATTACTAAACGGGACAGAAGGCTAGCAGAAAGAAGTCTGACATCCACCAAAGGAGCAGTGGCATTTTAGCAGCATGTGTACAATCAATGAAATTTCATTAGGTACACTCCTATGGAAACGTCCCCAGGGCTCCTGGGGAAGGCTTGTTTACACAGTGCCCGTCTCCCTTGGCTAAGGAAATAAACCTCAAACACCCACGTGGCCCAAGTCACTGCCCATGTGAACCGACCGTCTCAGATGTGCTTGCTATAGACGGTTACCCTGGGAAAGTTCTTCACCCCTCCTCCTCCAAGGAAAAATCTTTGTTAGATCATTTTCAAGGTTTAAAAATCAGGGTTTCAAATCTGGAAACCTGACCTCTTCTCTTACAGTCACTGGATCATGGCCAATCAGTAAAATAAGCAGCTGTGGGAGCAGGGAGGACAAGAGTGGAGGGGCAGTCGCGCAGAGCCATCCACGTTCAAGTGCCCTCTGCAGCCAGGAGGGACAGAGCAGAGGTGGCCTGCACAGACCCAGCTGTGAACAGTGCGAGGAGCCGGGCACCAGGAGAAGTGTGCCAGCTGCATCGCGGGCGGACAGGCAAGGTGGGGCCAAAGCAGGAGAGAGAGATTTTGTATGGTGGAGGCAGCGGTGCAGGTGTTTATAGCCTTCACAGAGCACAGGGAGTCACGGGCACCAGAAGCCATCCCAGACAGGCTCCTGACTGCAGGACAATGGGCGAATTACCTCAGCCTCAGGTACCAGGGCTGGAAAAGGGGAAAGAAGAATAAAAGCTGTTTGTAAGGTTCTTTTGAAATGGAATCAGATAATGTGAGTAAAACAGGTGGTGGAACATATGGGTGGAAAGGTGTGCACTCTGTCCACAACCACTAATGTGTTTCTTTCATTCTAAAGTACCTGCAAATGTGAAGAAAAGAGTGCACTTTAAAATATGCAAGCTGATCACATACCCAAATCCCCCCTCAAAAAAAAAATCAGGAAAAGAAAAGTACTTCAAAATCAAATGGTCCTTATGTTGCAGCATAGTCATTAACACGGGATGTAGAGGAGAAGGGCAGCCGAGTTTTTTATTTAGCCCATTAATTCTATTTAATAATAATACTTGGTAAACTTACACAAGACACCATGTGCTAGGTTCTATACTAAGTGGTATATAACAATGCTATTATCCCAATTTTATTGGGAGAACTGTAGCACAGAGAGGCTGAGTAACTTTTCAAGAACACACAGATTTGTGTATTGGTGTCAGGATTTGCATAGGTAAATTTAGAGTCTCTGTGAGTACAGCAATAAAACATTTTTGGTTTTTGGTACCAGGGATTGAACTAAGGGGCATTCCACTACTGAGCCACATCCACAGCCCTATTTTGTATTTTATTTAGAGAGAGGGTTTTGCTGAGTTGCTTAGTTCCTCACTTTTGCTGAGGCTGGCTTTGAACTCCTGAGCCTCCTGCCTCAGCCTCCTGAGCTGCTGGGATTACAGGTGTGCCGTACCGTGCCCAGCTATCATTCTTTTGAAATTGTTGGCAGCACCAAAAGAGAAGAGTRAAAATAAAATAAAGCCATCYGATCTGCAGCTCTGGAAGCAGCTGCCTTTGGTCCAGTAACAGGGATACCCAGACTTGGGATGTCCCTCAGGTTGAGGTAAGGTTAGAACTCTTCTGCGGCTTCTCTAAACGTGTTTCCAGCTTTACCCTCAAACTTGGATAACAGGGAAACATGAYGGGACAGACAGTGCCCAGAGGGAACACACGCAGAAGTCCCGTCGGCAAAGGGGTCTGAAGTCCCCAGAAGGATCTCCACAGGTCTAAACGGTGACTGGAGGACACAGGGTCTTGACAAGCGAGAACACAACACGCCCATTGCAATGTCATTTAGACCATGAAACATGACGTCAGGGAGGGCTGCTCTGGGACCTGGGCTGTCCCCGAGGCCGTGTGCTGAAGCCCGATTGCAGCCTGGAGCGTGGGGAGGAGGYGGGAGGTTCAGGGGGTGGCCTAGTGCAGGGAGGTGAGGCCGCTGGGGCCCTGCTGGCCTGTCTCTGCCCACTTCCCAGCTCTGCAGGGGAGGTTTCCCGGGCCACACACTGGGCCCAGCAGGCCTGTGCCTCCACACACCCAAAGCTGCTGGGTCAAGCGACCCTGAATTGTAACCCCTGACACATGAGCCCGAACAGACCTCTCCTCCCCGTTAGCCGCTTATCTCAGGTGTTTTGTGGTAGTGCAGCAAAGGCCAAAGCTGTAAGGTGTTCCCTAGCCGAAGTCGTGAGGCGATCTCACCGTCCTAGACTTTGACTTCACTCAGCCGATTCTCCCAGCCTGCGTCGTCACATTAAAGAAACACTTTGTCCTTGTTTCACCAAACTGGAGCTGGAGCACCTTGCCTTTCCCACCCCAACACCACAGGGTTCAGATGTCCTTCACCATGACACAAGAGTTGGATGGAGATCAGAAGTTACCAGTGAGGAAGCAGCACCCTCAATGCCTCACCTCAACCCAGTCTTAACAAGCAGTATCTGTAAGAATCACTCTCTTCCAAAAAAAGATTCACAACCAAAAAATGCTCAGGAGTAGCTTTGGGGAAACAAAAATATTCAGCATCCTCCGAAGTAAGTCTCTACTACCCAACATCAAACAATAATTAGCAAGACTGGAAATCAAGTCAGCCCACAGTGAGAAAGCAGTCAATCAAAAATGAGAATAATAAAATAAAGCATCAGGCATTGATAAGGTGAAGATGTGCCCCATAGGTCCTGGAGTAACCACTGAGACAACAGAGCCAAAAATGAACTAAGCAACTAGCAAGAAGGACAAAATGGAATTAAAAAAACCTCCATTAACTGAAAGGAAAACAGAGAAAGAAAACAAACAGCTCAATGACACAATTAAATACAACAGTATCAATAATCCCATGAAGTGGAAATGAGGTAACTATCCAGGTTAAAATGCAAAGATGATCCGATGGGGAGAAAGTCCAGTCCTAGGCTGCAGGGAAAGCACGTCAGACAGAAAGAGAGTGGGAGGAGTCGGCCCTGCTCACAGAAGGACAGGTGCTCTGTGGCCAGTCAATGTCCTACACAGACGTTCAATGCAAAGAAACGGTCAGGGCTGACAATCTAGTCATAGAAGGGTGCCTGGCCAGCAGAGGGACGAGGAGCCGCAGAGCTCACCCAGCCAACGCCCAGCGACCCACTAGGAGGAACAGGGAGACCAGGCTCCACGCTGCCCTCAGCCAAATGATGGCACAGGGGGACTGAAGGTGAAGGCACACAGGATGCCCGAGTGGCCTTCTGAGGCCACTTCCAACTACTAAAGGCTGCGACAGAACTCAAGGGATGTTAGAGGCTAGTGGAATGCGAGGGAAATGACCAGAGAATATGTCAAATTTGTGGGAGGTGTCAAAAGCCATGCTTAGCTGACAACAGAGCATGTGATGTTTATATTGTAAAAGAAGAAAGTTCTCAAATCACCTATGCTTCTGCCATGAGAAGGTAGGACAGCACCAGGAAAAAAAAAAATACCCATGACAAAGTAATAACCAAGCCAGGAGCAGACAGAGTTCCTCCTAAAGCTGTTCAGCAACGCCCAGTATTTTCCATGTGCCCTCCTCTTTACACTCCACACCTTTAGCTGGGCTCAGGCTGCCATGGATGCCCTGCAGCCTGGGTGTCAGCAGCCAGGCCAGGGAGTCCAGCAGCAGCTTCAGAAGGAGCTGCATCAGTAGGAAGAGCCTGTGAACAAGCCTCACGCACAGGTTCTCAGCACCCTGGCAGGCAGCAGGCGGGGACCTGCACTCAGGCTCAACAGCTCCAACCCACCTTGGAGACCCAGGTACTTTGGAAGCAGCAGCTCTGGCGTAAGCACAGGGCCCTGAGGACTCTGCAGAGTGCTGCTGGCCAGCCGTCCTGAAGGGACAGTGGGAGTCCAAAGCCCAACCTGGCACTGCGAAGACCCTCATGGATTTAACCACACAGAAGGTACCCACATATTTCAGGGTTCCAAAGTACAGACTTAATTATCTTAAAAATAGTTCTATCACTTGCGGAGTCTGTGCTCTCCAATCCCCACGAGGCTATAGATGAATGTTTAATATCTCACTGAAGATGGACCCCAGAAAGGCTGAGGACACTGGGGAGGACGCTGGGTAGGACAGCAGGGGTGAGCCCACGTCTCTGGGGACCACACTGCTTTCACCAGACACATCCTCAGTTTATACTGATGTCACGGAAAGTGAAACGCTTATAAAAGCGGATGCAATATTAGAAGAGAATATTCTTGGTAATAGTTTAACAGGGGAAAACCCAACCAGCCAAGCAGTTGGGACCCCTGTGTTTCTGTCCTGCCTGCCCATTACCTGACCCTGTCTGCAATGCTGGGCTTCAGCTGCTGTTAAGAATGCATGTCACTTCTGGACTCTTTCTCAAACCTTCCAGAATGAAAAGTATAAAACGTAAAGGGAAATTGGATGAAATATCTTTGACAACCCATGCAAAGTTTAAAAATGAATCTGTCAGTTTGCTTACCGTTTTCTTTACATGGAACTTTCTTAATACAAGCTGAAGACAATCTTAGTCTACTTTCTTAATACTCCAAACGCTAAGATTCTTGCCCACAAAAGGGGCAGGATGTGATCTAACTACTGGTCCCACCTTTGCAGCAGCATCCCCCTGGGGGCGGGGCATGGAGATCAGGAGGCCGCCTTTGCCTGGGTTCTAAACTGACCAACTGAGTTGATCAAGCAGAGCTTAATCCAGGTCCCAATTTCTCCTCCCAGGAGGCGAGTCCAGATGGCAGCTTCCTGGGCAGCTGGCTGCCGCAGAGATGGTGTGCAGGTCCAGGGCAGCAAGGGGCAGGGAGCAAGCAGGGTCAGCAGAGAAGCAAAGGGAGCCACAGCGTAGCCCATAGAGGCCACAAACGCACGGACTGGCCATGGATGTAAAATTCTCAGTTCCCAAGAAGGGGTCCTGCCATCTATCTGGGTACCAATTCTGAACATTTTAGGGGACTTCCTGGACCTCCAAGGGGACTTCAAGTACTGCAGCGCTGCACATAAACTCACCTTTGCATGAGCCTCAGGGGACCTGCACTCAGACCAGTGAGTGCTCAGTGTGAGGGCTCTTCTGTCTCAGGGGCCTGGGAATAGGACAGAGACACTCAGCCAGCAGGGTTGGAAGAGCCCTGGCTTTGTTCTGAAGGGCCCTTCCCCGAGTTTAGGCAGCTTTACTGAAAGGCAGAACCAGGGAAAGGAGAAGAAGGGAGGGCAGGGAATGCCTGCAGCCAGTCTGTGCCCAGTGCAGGCTCCTTCAGACAAAGCCACAGGAGCAGCCCAGCATCTGGGCTTCTCCAGGCTTAACTTACAAAGCATCGAAGTTTCCAAGAGTAGAGTAAAAAACGAAAATCAAAAGACGCCCTAGTAAAACCAAGCAAGGCTGTTCCTTTCGATGTGGCATGATCCTGGAAGGCAGATCCAATCCCACAGCATAATTTAGTTAAATGAGACCACAAGGTTGAAAAGGCTTTGGCAGAATTCACAGCGCTCAACAAATATAAAGTGATGCACTCTTATTGTTAGTCTGTTTCTTCGTGACCTCTCACAAAATGCAATTTTGAATGAGCAAAGAAAAGCGATTCAAACAACAATTGGTTATTACAAGCAAGTGGCTCTAAATTTTCCCAGAAATAACCAAGTCAAAGCGACTCTGGGGTGCATCAAGGTGCTAAAGGAAAGTCTGTTACCGGGGGTGATGGGATAATCTTTTATCTAGAGGCAAAGGCCAATTTATTAAAAAATTTGGCAGAAAGGCAAGAGGTGATCAAAGACAGGCAGAGGAATAGAACTGCTGTTGGCCATGGGCACCCATCAGCAGGGAGAATTCCGCAGAAGTGGGGCCAGCCTACCACTTGGCAAAGAGCAGAGGACGATTTTCTGAGCCCTTAAAACATGCACAGAAGAATTCCATATAGCCATACGCAGGCTATTTTTATAAGACTATCAAATATATATCCACCCCAAGTCTACTTCAAGGATCCCAAATGTCCCCAGGTGGGGTTCTGTCACTCCAGGACTCTGATAACATTTTTCCAGGATGGGGACACAGTGAAGATCTAGCCGCTGCTCAGCCTGTCTCCTGATCTACTGTGCTAGACTCCAACACTTGAAATTAATAAGGTGGGCTGGCAAACTCCAAAGTCTAGAAGTCTCTCCACATTATAAAATATTGCCACTGGCGAGAAATGCAGAACAGGTCTCCATAGAAAAAGCCACCTGTCCCCTCATCAGTGTCATGCCCTCAACATGACAAGGATGTTGCCCATCACTGCATCAGGGAAGTAAGATAGATAAATAAATAAATAAATAAATAAATAAATAAATAAATAAATAAATAATAAATCTAAGGAGCTCCAGAGCCCAAACCCAGATCTCAAATTCTGCCGATCTGGGGAGGCTGGGTGTGTCCCACTTGACCGCCACATCACCCTGTGATTCCAATGCAGGAGGCTCATGACCACACAGTGACAGACACTCCAGTAGGAGCTGTGAGCATCGTGGCCAGGGTCAGCCCGCAAGGTACTGGTTTGCTGCTAGAAAACTGCCCACATTCTTTAGGAAAGGGACATAATCAGTACCTTCAACTAGTGTGGCCAGTCAGCCCAGTCCTCAGTGTGAACAGCCTGGCCTTGGGGCCTTTGCTCAGTTTGAGAGAAGTCACAAAGAGCTAAGTCATTCCATCTGAAGGTGGCTGTCAGGAAGCTTATGCTTTCGCACAGTGTGGACAGTGCACACAAGCTCCGGTCGGCTCTGGGGGAAGGCAGGTACAAGTGTGCACACGTCCCACAGGTGGCCCACACAGGTATGCTGGTGCTCGGAACTGTCCGCCCAGGTGGTCAGAGCCCAGTATTCTATGTCTGGAAATGCCCGAGGAAAGACCCTTTGCATGACTTAAAGGAGTCATGTTGTAGAAATCCCTCTAAGCTAGCTTCTGGCTCACCCATGGAAACATGGCTGGGAAATCAGGCTTTTCTTATCCTGCCTCACTCCTGAGAGTTGACCCTCCTTAATCTGAGCGGTCATTGGCCAAGTCTCAATCTTCTGTAACTGCTTTCTGCTGATCAAGGATGCTGAGCCTATATTTTGTTGGAGGAAAACCATCCCTTGCTGCTTTAAAGACCTATATGGACCCGATTTCTCCCCTGAAGGCACAGGTCGCACGTTTTGCATAACCAATAATTTGAAACTTCTAATGGACCCAAGAAAAGAAAGGACCAACTTGGGGAAGATAGGACAGCTCTGACCATGTCCCATACAGAAGTGGCTCTCCTGCCACAGTGGGAGACCTGGAGCACATCTATACCCTCGGGCCCAGGCGTACTGATAGGGCATCGTCCTGGAGACAGCTCTCTACCCAGGGGTAAGCTAATGCGTGGGACGGCGTGGAGAAGGCGGTGCTGTGGCTTCCCTCATGGGACAACGGCCGACACAGAGGGGCATGCATCCCAGGGGTACACAAGCTGGCGAGCAGTGGGGAATTGAACCTTTTAGAGTTTTCCCATCTTGAAGACTTGCCAGGCGGTGGACATAAGGTCCTCCTCTCAGGAACCAGCCTCTAGATGCTGTGGACCCTGGAGGCCGGTGGGCAGGCAGATGAGCCCCCACTTAACACCCTCTCCTCCCGTATTCCTCTTCCAGACTGATGGCCTCCAACTTATTGCCCTGCCCCACCTCTCCCTCCCCACTGCCCCACCTCGCGCTCTCACCTGCCCCATCTCCCTCCAAAGAGAACTCAAGTTTGTTATTCTAAAATCCCTGGCAGCTGCTACCAGCCCGATTCCTTTCATAACTTGATCTCACCCTCTCTCACAGCAATTGGCTGGCAGCTCTGTCTGGACTTTGAGGTAGTGATCCCAGTAGAATTCATAGCCTTCCCCATTCTCACAGATCCAAAACTAATTCCAGCCATTCATTTTCTTAGAAAATCTCCAAATGAATAAACAGATACTTCTCAAAAGTAGTACAACTGGCCAATACTTACATAAGTAAAATAATTCAACACATTTCACCATCACTGAAATGCAATGCAAAACCTCATGGAATCTCCATCTCTCCCAGTTAGAGTGGCAGTTAACAAGGATACAAATAAAGTTATATGCTAGAGAGGACACAGGACTTATGGTGGGAATGTAAACTAGTACAGCCACACTATGGAAACCAGCGTGGAGTCTCCCAAAGCTTAGAAATGGAACACCATATGACCCAGCTACCCTGTTCCTCAGGATCTATCTGAACTATTAAAAGCCACATACTATAGAGAGACATGCACACTCATGCTTATTGCAACACAATCCACAATAGCCAAACTGTGGAACCAGCCAAGGTGCTATTCAACAGATGAATGGCTGAGGAAAATGAGGCATATGTACACAATAGAGAACCATAAAGTACAAAGAACCATAAAGAACAAAATCACGTCATGCACAGGGAAACGTTTGGAAATAGAGATCATTATGTTGAGCAAAATAAGCCAAACACAGAAAGACAAATATCAAGTTTTCTTTCATAAATGGAATCTGGAGGTTGGGAGAGATGACATGAATGTAGAAGAGGAACTATCAGAGAAAAGGAAGGGGTGTGGTGGGTTGAGGGTCGGCAAGAGTGGGTGATGATAGGGTGAAAATGATCAAAATGTTATAGGCATGTACCAAATGAAGCCCTTATGCTGTAAAAGTAATGTGCACAAAAATGTTCAAAATAATAAAAAGTTCCACATT